GTCAGTGGTGTCTCGAAGGTAGCTGGGAGTGCTGGTAGCGTAGGGCCTGAGGAGGGAGTCTACATAGCCAGACAATCCTGCTGTCAGGGTGCCAATGCCTGAGATGATGGGGCGCCCAGGATTTCCAGGTTTATGGATCTTGGGTAGTAGATAGAATATCCCAGGTCGGGGTTCCAGGGGTGTGTCTGTGCGGATTTGATCTTGTGCTTTTTCAGGAAGTTTCTTGAGCAAATGCTGTAGTTGCTTTTGGTAACTCTCAGTGGGATCACAGGGTAATGGCTTGTAGAAACTCGTGTTGGAGAGCTGCCGAGCAGCCTCTTGTTCATATTCCGACCTATTCATGATGACAACAGCACCTCCTTTGTCAGCCTTTTTGATTATGATGTCAGAGTTGTTTCTGAGGCTGTGGATGGCATTGCGTTCCGCATGGCTGAGGTTATGGGGCAAGTGATGCTGCTTTTCCACAATTTCAGCCCGTGCACGTCGGCGGAAGCACTCTATGTAGAAGTCTATGTAGAAACCTGTCGCAAGCGACCACTTGCAGAGGCCATAGAACACCACCACTCTCTGGTGTGTAAACCTTTGATGAGAGATCATCTTTTACAAGCAACCATTTTTGCTAACTGACATCAGCAGTCACTCTTGGCAGGTTTTACTGTAGTTTATTCACTGAAAAATGCAGTTTCATGTCAACGGGAACCATTTGCAAATTCGACAAAAAGTTTAGGCTGAATAAAAATGGGGTGGCGGGGAGGAGGGCAGATTCCCCAAATATTGAAATGTTTTGCTTAGACTTTTTTTTCAAAATGTTGTTTTGTTATGGAATTTAATTTAACTACTAGGAAAAAAGGGCTAACAGTCACCCAAATCCAAACCAAAACGTTTTGGGTCCAACAAGCTGTTTAATTTGACCTCAAATAATTTTTTTCATTTTGGTAAGGAAAACCAAAACTTGTCATTTCAGGACAAGCTGACAGGACAATGATTTTTGATTTTTCAGCTTGGTCACTGACCTGAAAAATCCATTATTCCCCCCTGTTCTGTTTATGAGTCAGTCGCTTGTTCCCTTTGGTCCTCCTGCTCTGTAACTTCCCATTAATTTGTTGACATCTTTTTGAAGATGAGGTGCCCCAGAACTCCAGTCTGACTGGAACATACTGGTGGAATCTGTATCACATCTCTCTCTAATGGGTGACTACAAGAGGATAACAGCCTACCACTGCTGCCAGATAAGGGAATTACATTTTTAGCTTGAGGGGTCTGAGCTGTGGTGCTGAAGGTTCAAAACCTTGCTGATACCCCAGGCAATAGGCTGTAACATCACCTCACCCAACATGATGCCTTGGTATGTGTAACAACACCCTAGAGGCATTATCTATAGGAACCTCTGCATGTAAAGTATGAGCCGGCATGGCTGTGTTATAGAACCAGACCCTATTCCTTGCATTCCTCCCCTGCCAGCCATTTCACAGTGAAGGTTCATCTCTAATTTGCCTTCCACCCCCGCCTCCCCAGCCACTAGAACTCTCCCCTGGAGTAGCTGTGTTTCCAATTAGGTTTCCCCAGATGTCCCCCAGAAGCTGAAGCTCCAGAAAGCCAAGGAAAAGAGGGACTCTGTTAGTCTTTTTCTTCTTACTGGATCATTTTCCTTTGTGTCCCAGAAAAACCCAAACTGGCCCCAGCAGTCTGGAAATTCAAGGGACAGTTCTGCTTTTGCTGAGTTCACAGTAGAAATAATCAGCATGAAAGAAAACTGGTAGCATGCTGATTTTCTATAGCCCCTGTAACCCAAGTATCTCAAAGCGCTTGGCAAAGAGAAATGAATTAGACCCAGGAGGCTGGGGACATTAGCCCCATTTTACAGATGGGGAAACTGAGACAAACTGCAGCACAGGGTGTGGCAGCAAGGCACTGTGTCTCTCAGTCCCTGTGCTTTGCTCCCCAGTCCACATGTCCCCCAAACAGCCAGCCCTGCCTCCCCTGAAAGCAGCTGCCAAGCAACATCAATGTTTCCTTTAGTTCCTTCAGTGACAGGGTGGGGAAGATGTCTTTCCCCAGGCCTTAGGGGAAGAATAGTAGGACAATCCTCCTTCAGAGTACCCCCCTCTCTCCCTCTCAGTTGAGCCTAACCCTTCAAGAACTCTTCTCTCTAGATTCACCTAATTTCTCTCTGTCTCCCAGCAACCCCCCCTCCCCCTCCCCCCCACTCTCAGTGTCCAGAAAACAAGATCTCTGCACCAAGGAGTGGTTTTCCACCCAGTGTCTCGCAGCTTCCTGGCCCATTTTCCATGCTGGCCCTTTCAGGAGTTGGCATCCTTCCCCCGGGGCCGTTGAGTGGTTTCATCCATTCTCGCTGATGCTGTGGGATCGCACGCTGGCACTACAGACTCCCCGGGGTTCTGTCTCCTAGCAACGGCTCCTGCCCAGAAGGTAGATGCTGAGAATATGTCTTGTCTATCAGCTATCACGCTGCGCGCCGGGGATACAGGGTAACCGCTGCCTGGAGTGCGAGAGGAAATCACGTCCCTGCCTGCTGTATACATGTGCTGGACCAACACTGCCCCTCTTCTCCCTCTCAGAAAGGAGGCACGGGCAGGGTGCAGAATGCTAAGTGCTTCATTGCTGGGAGGATCGTGTGGCACTATTGTCCGGTTCCATTCTCCTCGGCTTGCGCCAATGAAATATGACATGAGATAGTCCCTGCCTGCCCAGCTGACACTATCCAGACTTCCTGGGAAGTCTATACATTCCAGCTCACAGGATCATGCCAGGTCTGCCATCCCTGCGTGCTTGTCCGCTGGCTCTCTTCCATGCCAGCTGCCCATGTGCTAAAATTGACAAGATGCTTGTACCGCCCTTGCCTCCATCGGACCCCTGAGGGAGTAAGGGGAGATGTGTGCTTGTACATTTTAGTGCCCACATCAATGGAGCAGGCAAGGCAGAGGGAGGATGGGCCAGAGAACTTGCATGCATGCTCGACTGCAAATCAACCCCAGAGCCATGATTTGCTGGTGGGGTCACCCAGATTAGGAGCTGGGGTTTCACTGGGGTCTCCCCTTCTGTCTTGGGTGCTGAGGAGATGGGATCTTAGCAAGATCACATTGTGGAAAGATGGCTAAGGAAGCGGGCTCCGCTTCTGGTCTCGCTGGGGGAAATTCATCCTGTGCAGAGAACCAGCACTGGGCCTGGTGAAACCCCCCAAATACGGCTAAGTGGGGCTTTGGGGAAGCCCAGGCCTTGCACTAATCCTTTGCATAGTCCCCCTTAGCCCTCAGAGCCCCAATGTGAGAGGGGGGTGGAGAAGATGGAATTGTATCAAGGCACCGGTCTTCATTTTGGAGGCGCCGCAGAGTCAGGTGTGTTGTGGGCTCCTCTTGGGTAGGGAGAGGCTAAGCAGCTGTAGCCCTTGGCTGGGTGGGGGGCTGGAGCATTGGGGTTCCAGGGCCCTAGACCTCATTTTGAGCAGGGAGGGGTTTTGTCAGACTCGCATCCCCCCCTTTGAGCTCCTGCTGCCGTTTGGAGATGAGAAGAAGTGATGTGCAGAGCGGGTTTGATGATAGGCCTCTCCCCATGACAGGGCCAGAGCCCTGTTACGCAGAGCGCTAGCCCCTCCTCCAACCCCTTCTTCTTTCTCCCTCAGCACCTGAATCCCTCAGAAACTTTGCTCCTTTCCTGCCTGCCCATCTCTGTTCTCCACCATGCTGTGTGCTCCAGAGAGCCAGCGTGATTGAAGCCCGTGTTCCATGTCGTCTGACTGAAGCAGGTGCCAGCCTGGAGCAAGGACCAGCATAGGGAGGGAATGGGTCTCAGGGTGGCACTGTTCCTCCCTTGCTCCCTGACTCCCTCATGGATGAGAGGGGGCAGCAATTTGATGCTAACCAACCCCAGCAGCAAATCTGCACCCTCCCTGGGCAGGCTGACCTCTGTTGGCTGGCACACTGGGGTTCAGTCCATCTACTGCTCCCCCCAGGAAGAGGAGCCCAGAGCAATCTTCCCCAGTATGTTCAAACCTATGTCTTACTCCACCTTATGTCCCTGTAAGGGCCTGGACCAAGCCACCCTCTAGCCCTGAGACTGGAGGATGGAGAGGAAAGAGAGCAAGCTACAGAAAGGAGAGGAACAGAGTGACAGAGAGAGACACTCCCAGCCCTCTTGCATTCAGGGCAGACGGTAGCTTTCTCATAGTGATCATTATCCCATTCCAGGTGCCCCTTCTCCTCTTCCTTCTTGGACGTGCACTGTCGCCAAACCCAGCCCCCCAAGACTCAGGAATCAGGCCTCCAAAATCAAGAGAGGCTTAAAAATCACAAGATTTGGAAAAAAAATTATAATGAATTTGTGTTCTGTTTGACACCCCTTCGGTGTCTTAGCCTGTAGGTGTCATCTTATCCAGTTTTCCTCCAGAATCATCAGGGCTAGAAATTCCCCATTGCCCTCCAACAGAAGCTGAGATTCTCACTTATTCCTAAGACTCCAGGAACTGGGGCTTTAAGAGAAAACACCCAATATCACCAGAGATGGTAGCATGGGATTGCGCCAGCCTCTGCAGTGCCATTTCATTTGAATCCCTCCCCTCAGCTTTGCCATCTGTTTAGTTTGCTGATACTGTTGCCGCGGGGCCTGCCTCGTCCCTTCCCCCAAGCACCCCACCCCACTCCATGGAACTCAACTGCTGGCAGTGGAGGGAGCCCATTTCACCCCGGTAGAAGCAAGAGGAGAATCAGGCCCCAAGTTTCTTTGCCTTGTAGCAGAGACAAGGGGGCTCCCTGCTCTGAGGAGAGCTCAGGTAACTAGGGGAGTGTCTGCATGGTGACAGGCAGAGCCTTCCATCTACCATGCTGTGTCTCGGGGGGAGAGGTTAATGTCCCCAAAGCAGGCTGGCTTGCTCTGCAGGGCACATGGCACAGCTGAGCCTTGCTCTCTGGCTGTTGTACCCGTGCACATTCAGGGTCTGGGCACCAGAGGGGGCCCGAGAACCTTGCTGGCTCAGTGAGTGGAAACCAGAAACGCCTGGGATGCAGCTGGAGGAGCCGGAGCAGAGTCCTGAAGGGCACCGGGAAGGACTGGGCCACCCGGGCTCTGGAGCAGTGAGGGGTCTAGGGGAAAACACACTCCCTGCTTAATCAGTGCTGGGCGGGGCTCCTGCAGCATGGGCTCCATGCCAGCCACAACTTACCAGCACCAAGGGGAACTGGGGCAGAGGGAAGGTGCCACGCAGGACCAGGCGAGAGATACCGTAAGAGATGGACAGTGGGTCGAATGCACTGTTAGCTTTCTTGACAGGCTGTTGCCCAGGGCTGTGAATGTGCAGCCTCTCCCAAAGGAGATGGGTAGGAATCCCCAAGGAGGCACCGCTGAGCCCTACTAAATGTGTGCTGGGGGCCAGCTAGACTCACTGGCCCAGAGACCCAACTGATGGTTGTGGGCTAACGAGATCCATCAGTGACATCCCAGCGGGTGAGAAGAGGAATTGCCCATCCCCACATCCAAGAAACGGGGAGATGGGAGCACTGCAGTTGGCTGGATCACTCGGGATCAGCCTCAACTAGGAAAGATGGACCTACTGGGACATATCAAGCATGATGCCCTGCACCAGGAGGAGCTCAGAACACAGGTGAGGATGTCACAGAGACTGGGCAGGGTCGGCTCTCGGATTTTTGCCACCCCAAGCAAAACAATTTTGGGCCCCCCCCCCGCTTTTTTCTTTGTGCCCCTCCTTCCCAACTCCGCCCCTTCCCAACCCCTTCCCCAAATCCCTGACCCCACCTCCTCCCCCAGGCGTGCAGCATTCCCCAGCCATTGCTTCCTGCGGCTGCCCCCCCGCAACCCCCCCCCGCCCTCGCTCACCTCCGTTCCTCCTGCTCCCCTGAACACGTCGCTGCTCCGCTTCTCCCCCTCCCTCTCAGCTAAGGGAGAGGCAGCGCGTTTAGGGGAGCAGGCAAAGCAGAGGTGAGCGGGGGCGGGGAGCACAGGAAGTAATGGGGGGGTAGAGGAACCGCTTCCTGCCCCAGCTCACCCCCGCTTCACCACCGCCACCTCCCCCGAGCGCACCGCCACTCGGCTTCTCCTCCCTCCCTCCCAGGCTTGCCGCGCCAAACAGCTGTTTCGCGCGCAGCAAGCCTGGGAGGGAGGTGGGAGGAGCGGAGCGGCGGCAGTGTGCTCAGGGGAGCAGGCAGAAGTAAACTGAGGCGGCGGGGGCACATTTCTAGGGGTGGCATGGCTGGTGCCAGAATGCCACCCTAGAAATGTGCCACCCCAAGCACCTGCTTGTTTTGCTGGTGCCTAGAGCCGGCTCTGGCAGGGGATTCCAGAAGGATACAGCACCAGCAACGAGAGCAGAAATGTGAGGAGCCGCTGCGAGAACCTTGCGAAGGGCAGGGAGGAAAGAGCAGAGTCCGTTTCTAACTGCAACCTGGGAGTGTGCACTTGATCCCCTGACTAAGGGCAAATAGAGGCCACCATGCAGGGTTAGTGCTGCGAGAGTTGAGGTAGGTAGATAGAGTCAGGCACATCTGCATATGCCAGAGGCACTCTGAGCTTCTCCAGTGTTCTGGGGTTAGAGCAGGCCCCCTTGTGTGGTCATTTACAGCTGTGCAAAGCAAGGGCACAGTACGTCCAAGTACTGCCGTCATGGTTGGAGCTGTGTGAATAACTAACGGATCTGGGAGTTGGCTGCGGGTTTTGAAATTCAAACAAAAACAAAAAAGTCAGCAAACCAAAAAGTAAAAAAAACAAAACCAAGCTTCACTTCAAGTTGAACAAAAGATTTAGCTTGTCCCAGCTGTTTAAAAACATTTTATTTGAATAAAACTGTAGGAAGTTTTGAAACGGAAGGCAATTTTCTGAATTTAAAAAAAATGAAATGTTTCCAAAAAACATCAATACAAAATGAAAAGGAGGACTTGTGGCACCTTAGAGACTAACCAATTTATTTGAGCATAAGCTTTCGTGAGCTACAGCTCACTTCATCGGATGCATACTGTGGAAAGTGTAGAAGATCTTTTATACATGAAAAGATGAAAAAGCATGAAAAAGCATGAAAAAATACCTCCCCCCACCCCACTCTCCTGCTGGCAATAGCTTATCTAAAGTGATCACTCTCCTTACAATGTGTATGATAATCAAGTTGGGCCATTTCCAGCACAAATCCAGGTTTTCTCACCCCCCCCCCCCCGCCACACACACACAAACCCACTCTCCTGCTGGTAATAGCTTATGTAAAGTGACCACTCTCCTTACAATGTGTATGATAATCAAGGTGGGCCATTTCCAGCACAAATCCAAGGTGCCACAAGTACTCCTTTTCTTTTTGCGAATACAGACTAACACGGCTGTTACTCTGAAACCTATCAATACAAAATGTTTTAATTTTGTTGGAATTTTTACGTGTGGGGTTGTAGTGAGGCGGTGTGGTTCCCTGCCACCCCGGAGAGAGACAAGCCCCTCTGAGCCCTCAAAGCCCTGGCTGGGATGATTTAATTGGGGATTGGTCCTGCTTTTGAGCAGGGTGTTGGACTAGATGACCTCCTGAGGTCCCTTCCAACCCTGATATTCTATGATTCTATGATTCTATGAATGAGGATATAGCTACATTAAAAATAAAACCCTGGGGCTGGGTCGGGTGAGTGTTGCTGGAGCCAAGGAGAAACTTCCATATGGAGAGCTTATCCTTTGGTTGTGGTGATGTTTCCCGCCTTCTCTCCCCGCTAAATAACACGATCACCTCTGACTAAAAAATGCCCAAGGTCACCTTCAGCACGGATGCTGACTTTCTTTTTTCTGGGTGGGTGTATTCTGCCCCAAAGCCCCACCCTCATGCCGCCTCTTCCTGCCTCCCTCTGCCTGCCACCAAGCGACTGATTTGGCCTGCCAAACAGCTGATGGATGGGTGTCTGGTAGTTGCTGAGCATCCACTATTTGGAGCACCCACCGAGTTGGTGCCTATGACTTTCACTACACCTGTAGTCCTGCTGCCCTCTATAAAGGTGACCAGCAAAAGAAATCCAAAGAGTGTCTCTGTTTGCTTTATTATTATGCAGAAAGGAAGCCAGAAACAATTTTTTTTCCTGATTTTCTTCAAATAGAAATGCAGATCTAATCTACCCTGCTACTCTAGGAAAACTCTATGGACAACTAATAGGAAGGGATTGTTTTTAGGCTTCATCAGCACAGAGTTTTGTGTTAGATGTAGTTAGACAGGTATAATTATAGTGGTAAAACTCCCCAGGGGTGGTGAGTTATATGGGCCTATGGTGGCCAGGCTCCAGGAATATTCAGGGCCCGGGGGCCCAGCTCCACTAGTGTTCAGAACCGGGTCTCTCCCCCGGCCCGGAGCATCCCTGTCTCAAGCGGGTGGCTGCCCTGCCGCTCTGCGCTGAGCTCCCTCGTCGCCGCCCACTGCTGCTGCCTACAACACAAGAGCGGTGCCACTGGCAGGCTGAGGCAGCTGCTGCACCTGAGGAGGGGAGAAGGCACACACATGATTGGCAGCCCCAGCTCCCCCGGCCTTTCCCTCCCCCGGAGTCTGGACCTCACCTAAGCAGCTGCTGGGGCTTGGGTGAGTGTCCAACCATGTGATCTGTGCCCACCTACCTGCCCGCAGCCACTACTCCTGCCCCATTCTGGGCAAGGGGGAGCCCCATACCCCATGAGGCTATGGTGAGGGCCAGCAGGCTGCAGCAGGGAACGAGGTCCCATGTGATGGCAGCCCACTGACCCCCCCGGCACCCACCACAGTGGAGGCAAGGGGGCTTCCTGGACCTGAGAGGGGCCTGGCCCCTAGGAGCATATACACCATGCTGGGTGAGTGTGCTGCCGGGGGAGTGGGCTGGGAGGACTGTGGAGTCCTCCTCTCTGGCTCCAGCCCCGGGGAAGCCTGCCTGCACCCCAAACTCCTCATCCCCAGCCCTGCCCCATCCCAGACCCCCAGCCAGAGCCCTCACACCTCTGCACCCCAACTCTTTGCCCCACCCTGAGCCCCCTGCTGTACAATGAACCCCTCATCCCCGGACCTACCACGCAGCCCTCACTCCCCGCATCCCAACCCTCTGCCCTAGCCCTGAGCCCCTCCCAAACCCCTCATCCCCAAACCCACCCCAGAGCCCGCACCCCCAGCCAGAGCCCTCATCCCCCCTCAAACCTCCACATTGTGCAATATAGGGAAACTCTTAAAGGCTTACTGTCTCCAGACCATTTTTACATTATTTAAAAAATATATATATCTGCTTACAAGGCAGGTGGGGTGGGGGCAGGACTTGGACCCGTTCTGGGCACCACCAAAAATTATATAAACCTGCCACCCCTGAAACTCCCCATGAAGACACTCTGGTTAGGGTTGCCAACTTTCTAATTGCTGGTAACTGGACCCCTGAGACCTTAACCCTGCCCAGCCCCTTCCCCCAGGCTCCACCCCTTCTCCACCTCTTCCCTTGAGGCCTCACCCCTTCTCTGCTTCTTCCTCAAGGCCCCACCCCGGTTCCTCGCTTCCTCACCCTGCCCCTGTCACTCACTGGATCGTCTCCACCTCCCTTCCCCTCCCTAGCTGGGCTCCCTCCATTCCAGGGCTGGGACAGGAGCTGCTGCAGCCTGACAAGGAGCCTGCCTGCAGGCAAGATGCAGTCCCAGCTGAGCAGGGGCTGGCATGGGTTAATGACCCAGTGCCTCCCCTGTCCCCGTGGTAACCGGACTGTTGGGGTCAGGTCAGGTGTACTGCCAGGTCCCCCTTTTGACTGGTCTTTCTAGTAAAAAACCAGGCACCTGGCAAGCCTAAATGGCACCTGGACTCAGATCAAGGCCTGGACTGTCCGGGTAAAATCTAGATGGGTGGCAACCCTAACTCTAATATAAGACTGGCTTTTCTTCCATTTACCTTTAACCGCTTCCCAAGTGACATATGCTAAACAGAAGAAAAGCCAGTTTATATCAGAACATTTACATGGAGAGTTATAGCAGTGTAACTATCAGTTTACATTCATACCTTAGCTTATACTGAAAAAACACTTGTGTAGGCAAGGCCTTAGTCAGACTGTTTAAAAAAATCTTTGGTGTTGTGGTAATACCTATTGAATTCAGAGGCCTGACAAACAGTTGGGAGGAAAGATTTCTTTGCTACATTCTCAATCATCAGCATAGGCAATCCACCTCCCTGAGAGGCGGTAGCGAGGCTGATGGAAGAATTTCTTCCATTGACCTAGCACTGTCTACACCGGAGTTAGGTGGGTATGGATACACTGCTCAGGGAGCAGTGTAGCTGGATTGACCTAACTTCAGGCCTTAGAGTTTACTTTGACCTGCTAACTCATGTTAGAACTGCACTCTGCCTTGCCTTCACTGGGGTTTTACCTCCTGTTACTTACCACACATTAGCTAGCACAAGTGAACACACCTTTTTCCCTTGTGATGACAAGGCCATAGTGAAATTTGTTCCACATGATAAATGTTCTCTACCTAAAGCACAAACTTTTGTCACCTGGATCAAGTGTTTGGGGAGTGTGCACACTTGCCATACAAACATGTTAACTACCCCGAGTTAATTGGCAATTAGTTAATTTGACATTTAAAAGCAACCCTAGTTTTGACATACCTTCTAAGGCACTCCATTAACTTCCGCGTGCA